TGCATTATTTCTAATCCACAAGATTATAGACGCAACTTCAAGACTGCTTTCTTCTACATCTAGATTTTGTAATCAGCCAATGGTACAGCATCTTCGGTATCCCACATGGCCCTCAGGATGAAGTGTGGTAAATTTTGCACAATACAAGGGGAAAAAAACATGTGACTTTCTAAAAGTAATCTCATTCTCTGTATCTTCTTCTTGAGTTTTCTTTATGACTGATATGGGAAATGTTTGATTTCTTTTTTTTTTTTTCAAAGAAAGTTCGCAGTCTCTCCCAGTTCCAAACTTCAACACATCCAGTCTTTCAAGGTTTCTTCCCATTATCCCTTAAATTTTTGGGATACACTAAGGCACATTCATTTCTTTAGAGTTCTCTACTGCAGGTTTTTACCAGATTTATTGCTAAGACAGCAAGACCTGGTGACAGGTTCTGACCTTCCATTCCACTTGAGTTTTCATTGTCATTGCCAGGCCTTTTGCCTGATGGTCTTTTCTGTGGCCCTCTGTTACAAAGTCACATCAACTTGAACTCTTGTTGACCCTTGCTTACTTCCCCAGGCTAGCAATCTCAATTATCTCTCACACACTTGGGAAAAAAACAAGGAAACATATGGATTTCCTCACTGTACCCCAGTCTGGAAGAGTAGGAAAACTGGTACAGGTCCATCTGCCTCTGTCACTTCCACCCAACCATGTAGGTGCTATATTAGGCATCTCTCTTGCCCATTAAAAAGCTAATCTGAAAGACATTGTAGTCTTTCCAGGGAAAGGAAGAACAAACATCATTCTCTTGGTTTTCCCACAACCATCTCCTGGTGAGTCTTGCATATATCTTGTTCTGCCTCCACCTCTTCTCCCCAAACCATGTTCAACCCAGGATGGATAAATGGGGAAGGAAGACACTGGAATTTCATCCTTCATTCTTCTCTCCCTCTCCTGTTCTTCAACAGCAGGTAATAGTAAGCAGATAGTAATTTCTCTTCCTGTAAACTATAGATTTAAAGTCAAACCCTTTACCTCCCTACACTATCGGTTGTAGTAAAACTATGCCCAGAAGTGCAAGATCTTTTCTACACGTATAAACATGAGATCTGAGAATTTCAAAAACACTTTTCTCTCTCAAAAAAAAAAAAAATCAAGCTTTCAGGAATATTATCACTGGAGTCTCAGGAAAAAAATATCTAGTATGAAATTAGAAGTAAAATTGTATCCCCTTTGACCTAAGCCAGTGGTTCTTAACTTTGGCTGCACATGTGTCACTGTGGCACCTTTTAAAAATACTGACGGTCAGGTCCTTTACCCTGAGGCCCATTCCTCAAAAGATTCTGGAATCCAGACAGGTTAGAGAAATTTATTTGAAATCTTCCCCAGTGATTCTAATTTTTAGCCAGGATTGAGAATCACTGACCTTCTGTCTGAGCAAGAGGATACTGTTTAGTCCACTGCGGGGAGAAAACATGATTTGCTGGGAATGAATAAAAAGAATTCTAACATTCTTTGATTATAACTCTTGTACATTCCACAAAGCAATTATCTGGTCAGTGATTTCATGTTACCATCATAAAAATTATTTTACGTGGATACCATATTGAGTACATATAACTGAAGGATCAAAGTGTAATTCAAAGAAGCTAAATAAGAAATCACTTTATCACTTAAATATTAGATGAAAAAAATACCAATCCTGATTTTTGATATTAACCGTTGTCATCTATGATATCATCATTAATATGATTAGAAAGTTGGGGCACTGGGGTGGCTCAGCCAGTTGAGTGTTCCACTCTTGGTTTTGGCTCAGGTCATGACCTCAGGCTCGTGAGATCAAGCCCCTGCATCAGGCTCCACACTCAGCACAAAGTCTGCTTGAGGCTCTACCTCTCCCCCATCCCTCCTCACCTCTCTCTCTCTTTCTCGAATTAATAAATAAATCTTTTAAAAAAATTATTTTTCCTTTTACTAAAATTAAAATTTTAAATTATAAAAGTATATAACCCGAAAAATAAAGGTTCTCATAATCCCACCTCACAAAGTTAATCACTGCTAATGGTTGGATGTACACTCCTCCAAGTGTGTCCTATTCAAATGATAACATACATCATGAAAGCATTTACCCAAATGAGATCATACTATATACAGTTTTGAAGCTTTAATTTATACCTAAAAATATATTCTACACGTGTGTGTGTGTTTGTGTGCATGTATGTGGTGTATCTCATTTCTTAAAATGGCTTATGTCCTTCAGTGTTAATAACAAACATTTGAGTTGTTTCCAAACTCTTTGCTATTGCAAACAATACTATAATGAAATTCTTGTCCTAACGAACATACCTTTGGGCAATTTTGCAGGTGTTTTCATAAAATTGATTCCTGTGAATAGAATTTCTGACTTGAATACAATAGACATTTTCTACCTTGATAAAGGTTGCCAAATTTCCCTCCAAATAAGTTGTGCCGATTCACAATTACTTCAACAATATATGTCAGTGCTTAGTGTCCCCCACCTTGACTATAGTAGGTATGAATCAATTTCTTAATGTGCTTCCCGAGCACCAAACTGAATATGTATAAACTAATACTGGATGTGAGCTGTTTGAAGATTCTTGATGAACAATAAGGATGATTTCTATTTCCTTCAAAATACTTAAGGGTTACAGACATAAATGCTACTTGATTCAGTCTCATGGTGGGCCAAAAAATCCTCCAAAGGGAAGCTGCATGTTTTTCAATATTCTGTGTTGTTACTCATTGACAAATCACATTCTTGTTGTAGAACGTACATTTGCTTAAACCTGAGAGACTATAATTTTTTTATTATGATTATGCCTGTTTCAACATCCTTTCCCTATACAGCTTCACAGGATTGACTTCGATGTGTTGTTAAGTAGCCATGGGTATCCATGATGATACTCAACATATTTTGGTTCACTCCCATAACATCATCAATGATTTGAGGTCTTCATTGCTTTTTTTTTTTTAAAGAAAATGAGATGTAAACTTCACTTTATTCAGTGGCTGCTGCATGCAGAGCTCCCCACTAACCTCAGTGATTGTATGTGGGATGAGTGGTGCCCAATCTAATAAAACTTACTGTTTACTGCATAGAGCACAGAAATGCTTATATTTTACAAAAAATGACTATATACCTACCTGTTCAATGGATACAGAAATGAAGTTAATCTGAATTAAAAATTTGAAATAAATGAGTTTTGATAGAAATATTGAAGGATATAATCAAACATGGACTGGTGTTCAAAGATGACATTCAGGGATCCCTGGGTGGCGCAGCGGTTTGGCGCCTGCCTTTGGCCCAGGGCGCAATCCTGGAGACCCAGGACCGAATCCCATGTGGGGCTCCCGGTGCATGGAGCCTGCTTCTCCCTCTGCCTGTGTCTCTGCCTCTCCCTCTCTCTCTCTCTCTCTCTCTGTGACTAACATAAATTAAAAAAAAAAGATGACATTCAAATATTTTAAAAATGCAGTGTTCATGGATTGATAGGGAAGCCTCTGATAATTCTAAGTCAGAAGTGTGCAGATGTAAATTAGTCCGTTGGAGCATGCTGAGAACTTCCCTTTTGGCTCCCTGTGTCCTCTGCCTAGAATATTTTTTATCTCTTCTTTAATAACTCTAGCTTGCCTTTTAGATTAACTCAGATCTCATCTCCTATATTAGTTTCCTATGGCTGTTGTGACAAATTACCACAAACTTGTTGAATTAAAACAGCACTTTATTATCTTGTGGTTTTAGAGGTCAGAGGTCAAACATGAGGTCACTGAGCCAAAATCGAGGTATCAACAGGACTGCATTCCTTCTGGAGGGTCTAGGGAAGACCCTAGCCTTATCCAGCTTCTAGAAGCCACCTATGTATGTCCTTGGTCAGGGACCCCTTTAGTCTCCTCCTGTGTAAAGAAGTATATTACCAGGTGGCTAAGAGAACAGATGAAAGAGAAAGATTCCTCTTTCCAAACCTCTGCTCCAGCACCTACTCATAAGAAGCAGCACCAACTTCTCAGTTTCCTTATTGAAAACATGAAAATAATTACAGCATTTAACACACTCGCTTCTCGTGAAGATTAACGAACAGACAAATGAAAATTCACTGACAGTGCTTGGCACATACTCTTCACTCTAAACAGTTACTATTTCCCACTCGTGAGATTACTGTAAGGATTTAAGAGGCAGTCGATAAGGCCACAGCACAATGCCGGGCACGCAGCCAATTCTCAGTACGTTCTAGCTTTTGATTTATCACCATCATCTGTAGTAAATACAACAGGCCAAAGAAGTCAAACTCCGTGAAGAAAATGCTGCGTTTCAAAGGCAGGAGTTTGGTGAGATGTGCTCAACTCTGGGCTAACAATCTGAATTAGTTCGGGTTCTGTTATTGTCGAGCTCAGTGTGATCACAAGGTTAAAAGGTACGAAAGGTCAATAACGTTGTGATGGATGGACTTTATTAGTTGCAGTGATGAAATAATAATAGCAATAACTGTAGGCTTTTAAATAGTGCAAAACGTTTTCAAATACGTGATCTCCTACGGCCTTGCTGTGACTTCATGTTAATTCCAGGCAGTCTCTAGCAGTCTAATGGCTACTTGATTATTTAGGCTTCCCAGATTATTAGCATTCTTGGCAGATCACAGCCTTTATATTCTTCGTATTATGGAATATTCAAGTGTCACCCATTGTTTCCAAGGCAAATGAGCCATTCCACTTAGATGTTTACAGTAAATAGAACAGAAACTTGTGGAATCATCTTCCTCTCTCATAAATGTAGCAACAGCAAAGTGGTACAGCATTTCAGCTGTTCCAAGTTCCTCAAACAAGTTTTACTTTTGCAAAACGAACCCTCTAACTTCCTATATGTTGTGAGCTGCCCTGTGAGCAACATGACCGGCAGCCACGTTTGCTGTAATTTTTTAAATATGTGGAAAAAAAGCAAGATATCGACCATGTATTACCTTAACCAAGATGCCAAATTATCTAACTTGTTTCTCCAGGCGAGCAGCCCAACAACAGGGACAGCTCCCAGGAGCCAGTCAAGGTTGTCCGTCTGCCCATCCACTCAAGACATCTGCAGGTAAGTGCTCAGCAAATGATCCTATTTAATATTGTTTACACCAATGTTTCGTATTCCTCTTGTATATCCCTAGACTGTGGCTCTTGCTTCTGCCTTACATTATCCATGGACAATTTATACTGGCTTAGTTTTTCCCTGTTTAGTGCATTTTCTTCATTTGATCTTTATTTACCAACTTCTGGTCCATGCTGTCATTTTCATCATTCTCTCTCTCTGTTTTCCCATGGCTCTCCTCTCCATTCCCATCTCCCATCCTTTGCCTGCTGCTTTGTCTAGATCTGCCATCTTGCATGACATGTCAGAAGATGCATTTGAGCAATGCACCCCTGTCATGGGGCTGAGCCCTGCTAGGAGGGAGTCTGGTAAGAAATCAGTAAAACAGAGGCCTAGGAGGAGGAGGAGGGCCTCTGAGAGATACGAGCATGCAGAAGCACAAATAAGAGGGAGAAGAAAGGATTTTCACCTCCAAATCACAAGCCCCAGGGGGAGCGAGTGCTACACAGATTCTTCAGATTCATCTTCCACAGATGAGACTCACTGGATTCAGGCAAAGAGAAGAGCCCAAGTTCAATTCCGACGGTCGCGAAGAAGAAGGAGAAATAGCAACAAGCCATGTGGAAACGCGGATGCGTCCTGTGCTCCTAATGGAATGGCTCTGGTAGATGTGGAACCCGAAGGTAAAAAGCAACAAGAGCTGATTGAATGCGAGAGCTGCTCCTTAAAGCTCTGCAGAGGAAAAGGCACAAGGTACCAGGAATGCAGTCTTTCCCTGCCAACAGGAGCCTTCGAGATGAAGAGAGCCTCAAGGCAGCGCGAGGAAGGCAAATACCAGCCCAGGGAGCTGCAGCTCTCGCATCGCCTTGGCCACTATGAAACGATCCAGAAAAGACTTTCAGAAGCAGATCCCAGCACTGATATATTGGCAGGAGCAGAAGGTGGCAAGTGTGAGGATGCTGCTGGGTTCCAGGTGAATAATTCTGTGCAGAAGCCTCCTGCCACCTACCATGACGGGTCTGATAATTTAAGAACATGCAGGTCAGTCACTGTAGAGAAAGGCCTGGGGCCGTCCACATGCATTTCTGCCCGCTGTGAGTTAGGCGTGCGTTTGACACCTGCCCTCGGAACATAGCATTTATTCATACTATTGCTTGTCTGATTGGATGGGAGGTGATAAAACAAGGACAGGTGCGTAGGAGAAGAAATAACAGGGGAGCATCCATGGGTTTGAAAGCTGTTCCAGAAAAGAATTAGATTTCCTCTTCACCCTTCCCATTAATTGGATAACGATTTATCCTGGTAAATGGACTGACAGACCAGTTGGGTCCGGTACCTGTTCTAGTTTTAAGACAAGACCAGTGGAGGAAATATGAGTAAGAGTGTATGAAACCTTGGATCCTTTCATGCAAATTTGGTGAACTTTAGCATCCTGATAGAAAGATATTCAAGGCTTGGGTTTTTTAAGGTCAGATTTTATATCAGAAAAAAAAATCTCCTCTGCAGTTAGTGCTAATTTGTTCTCCAATTGTCTGACTCAGCAGGGTAATTCAAGACTGAAAGGACACAGACACAGGTCATGGACATATCAGTGGGGTTTCTGGAGCCTTCAGGGAAGGAGAACACATTAACTTTAGTGATAATCGTGTACTAAAAGGTTTCAACGTGTAGGCATTTCATAGCTGTGAGACTCCTTTCTTGCAATTTTTTCCAACCGTATGCACTTTCAAAATAACATAAAGGGAATAAGAATTATATGACTGTCCATGCTAGTGGGCACAAGGTAGATTATTTTATTTTATTTATTTTTATTTTATTTTTATTTTATTTTATTTTATTTATTTTTATTTTATTTTATTTTATTATTATTTTATTTTATTTTATTTTTTTAAGGTAGATAATTTTAAACAAAACAAATAGTTTTACGCTTTCATGTCACACCCTAGTCATTCAAGTTGGTCAAGTGCAGTTTTGTCGCATAATGTTTGGTTGTTTGGGGCTTGTTTTCTGAAAGTTAAAGTTACTTTATAAACATGTGTGTGTGTGTCTCATGCGAATCACTTGACCCAGAAAATGCTGCCCCTATCCTTTCAAGACAGGACAAGGAAGTTTAAGGTCTGGATATAAACAATTTTATAAAGGTTTGCTTATCTGCAAGTTTTATAAGATTTTTATAAAATGTTCATTCCTTTATTCATTTAAGCACCTGTTATGCATCAATTCTGGGCACTGAAAATACTGCAGTGCAGGGGATTTGTAGAGTCTGACCTCTTAGAGCTCACAGTCTAAGGGGGAACACAGAACCAAAACAAACTATTTCACAGTTGATACATAATCACAGCCATGATAAGGAATATGAAAGCTCAGAAAATGGAAGCTTTACCTATTTTGAGAGATCAGAGAAGAACTCTCTCAGAGAGGTGACAAACGGAGACTCATAGGATGACAGGAATTGATCAAGGAAAGAAACAGGGAAGACCATTCAGGCCAAAAGCGTCAGTGCACCAGGCCAGGAGGAGCAACATGTCTCAGTCCAGGGAGCTGAGAGTGGGCCCCTGTGGCCAGGGTGCGATGAATGAGGGGAGAAGGTGGTGGAGATGAGGGGGCAAAGGCGGACAGAGCCACGTAAAACCTGCTCAGAGATCTCAAAAAAGGGACACCGTTTGATTTACGTATTAATGTAAGTTTCTTACGATCTTTTGAATATGATTTAAGTGTGATTTTGCTAAAATGTTCGGCTCTGGGACAAAACACAATTTCCACTCTAAACTAAGAACTCCCCACTCGCGGCCATCTGTTGTCATTCCCTGAATCTACTTCCAACGTAATTTAATGAAAGAAGCTAGTTGTGGGCTTAATGGTAATTGGAGAAAAAAGTAATGCTTGCAATTAAAGTCGTGTCTGATTCTCCTAACTTAAAAACGCTGCTCGGAAGGAACATTTTCAAAGACAGGATATTTAACTTAGACTTCTATTAATGAAAGTAAGATCGATGGGCCTATACTTATTATTTCTTGCTGTGGGTTATCATCAGAATATACCCACTAAGCAAATACGGGGACTGCATATTATACTAGTGCTCAGGGCAAAAAGCAACAAAAGACTTGATTCTTCCCTTAAGTGGCCTGTTACCTAGTGGGAGAAATTGAACACACACCTGTAAAGATACAAATTAGATAGCATAGGGTTAATTAAAGAAAAAAAAAAGGAATACTGCAGAAATTTTAACACAGAAAAATTTCTGAGAGCTGGAACAATCCAGAAACCCCATTAAGCAGTGGGATCGGGACTAAGAAGAGTAGAGTTGGATTGACAGAGAGGCATGCTGGGCGTTGCAGGGACTCCAGGAGCCCAGACAGAGATGAGGGAATGACACTGAAGAACTTTGTGTGAGCTTAAATGATGAGGTTGGAAAGTTCACATAGGTGACGAGTTTATTGTTGTTGTTTTTTTTTTAATGTCTTTAAAAGATTTTATTTGTTTGAGAGAGACATTGCACGTGAGCCAGGAGGGGAGGGCCAGAGGGCAAGGGCGAAGCAGACCCCCCTCCCCATGAGCCTGGAGCCCAACTCGGACTCAGATCCCAGAACCCTGAGATCATGACCTGAGCCAAAGGCAGACGCTTACCCCACTAAGCCACCCAGGTGCCCCTAAAAAAAATTTCTAAAAAAGACTTTGTAAAGAAAACATGCATATCTTTCCAAAGAGTTTAACTGTGTTCAGGACATCTTTGTTTCTCAAAGATGCGTCGATGAGCCCCTTTTGGTACCTAACAGGCTGCCCTAGAAGCTGAGAAGAGATCAAGGGGATTGTGCTTCCTTTAGCCCATCTTCAGTCAGAGAAGCTTCCCGATTACCTCTTGCATATAATGTAGTTCTATCTACTATCCCTTTAGGAAGAAAAGATTTCACTGCAACAAAGAATACAGAGCAGCCTGGCTAAATACAGTAGGCCTGATGATGACTGACGTAGACAGAAGAATAACACAGACAGTCGCAGTGGCCCCGGGGCTGCTTTGGGAAAGGAACCTAGATTTCAGAGAACAAGTTGCAATAAGGTGGAATGTGTCCTGCTTCGAGGTAAGTGGGATTAGGATGAGAAAGGGTAAGGGAAGGGAGGAGTGGCATTCCCCCCCCTCCCCCCGGCAACCGGAAGCAATCTTGGTGCTTGCATTGGTGAGAGCATAAGACAAGGGGGTCCAGGGTGACTCCAAACCTTGGAACTCGGGGGACAGTAAATGTCACTGTCACTGACAAAGGCAGAAGAGGGCAGGGGAGGCGGTTTGGGGAAGACACGATGAGTTCAATTATGGGCAGGCCGTGTGCGGTGGCAGTGGCCTTGCAGGGTCAGCTGTCCCGCACGCAGTATGAGACGTGTCACCGAAAGGCAGGGGAGCAGCCACAGCCGGTGCTGTATAATTTTGCAAGCATTAGTGAACTAGACACAGACTGACACTAAACAATCGCATATTTGCAATTGTTATTAACGTGACGCCTTGGCCCGGGGCAGCAGCCCAAAGACACTGGTGATGGGAATCTTCTCGAAGCCAGGGAGATGGGGTCATTCTCAGGCAGCTAACCATGGTGACTGGGGAGTGAGCGAAATCCCTAAATGAGATCGTGCAGAGGAGAAAGGCCTTCGGAGGGACACAGCCTCAGCCCGGGTCCCCCGTGAGAGAAGCAGCAGCTGCCTGTGAACTTGCACGCCTGCTGCTTAGGACACACGTGGGCAGAGCCAGCGTTGGACGCGACCACAAAGCAGAAGCTCCGGAGCCCTTCCTCCTTTGCTGTTCCTGCCATTTGCTCCCGAGTGGGCACCGTACCTGCTTTCCCACCCTCACCAAAGCCTTCTTCGGAAGGTTTCTCTCATTACAATGCACAGGAAACGAAGTCATCGTGCTGTCTCTTCTCTTCCCCAGACTAACTCTTAGTCATTCTTTTTTGGATGAAATGCAGCCTCCTTAGGGACCCCTTCATGATGCTCACCACGCAAGCCTCCTGGGAATCACTTCCGTAGCATAATGTTTCATTGCCGACATGTAGGTATTTTTGTGATTGACCGTTTCAGATTTTTTTCCTGGTGTCCACAGTGCCTAGAACAGGGCCGGGCAGATAGAATGTACTCAACATACCATTTTTGAATGAACAGATTTAGGGAAAATGAGTTTTTCTAAGGGAATTATTCTTACAATGTGAAATCGATGTGAAAGCACTAAGCGGCAGGTGACCTCACCTGCCAGGGAACCAACATACAAACTCTACATCAGCAGTGCTCAGGCCTTAGTGGACGTTAGCATAGACCACAAGGCTTGTTAAAACACGGGTTAGTGGACCCACCCAGGGTTTCCGATCCCCTTCTCTAGGGCTGAGTCCATGAATTTGCATTTCTGAAGTGTTCCCAGGAGATAGAGATGTTGCTGATCTAAGGGGCCGCATTTTGAGAACCACTGCTCTGTGCTACATTTCTCCTGGGCCTTAAGTGGAACAAAAGCACAAATAATTGAAAGAATGAGTTTGGGGGGCACCTTGGTGGTGCAGTCAGTTGGGCGTCCAACTCTTGGATTCTGGTCGTGACCTCAGGGTGGTGAGATGGAGTCCCGCATTGGACTCTGCGCTCAGCACGGAGTCTGCTTAAGACTCTCTCCTTCTGTCCCTCCCCCTGCCCATGTATTCATGCTTTCCTCTCTCTCTCTCTCTCTCTCTCTCATAAATAAATAAATAAATAAATAAATAAATAAATAAATAAATAAGAAAAGATGACTCTGGGAAGCATAATTACCATTTTCTGTCATAGTCTATTGAGTGCTGACACAAAGCAAAGTTAGGTCACTGTCTTGTAGCTCGCCGCACTGCTGTACCAGTAAGTGCTGCTCATCTGGCTTAAACCATAGACTGACAAAGCCCCGACTCTACCAGGAACTCCCATGTCATGGTTTGCCTATTGTGTCTGTTCGAACCCACTTCCTCATCACAACTACCCCCATTTCTGTCAGTGAGTTCACAAATACCCTGAATTTCCAGTTTTGGGCTGTTTTTTCTTCT